GAATTTTGTGGCTTCGATGGATTCAATGCTAGCTGGATTAGATGAAACAATAAGACAACACCTCCATATTATCAATCGGAATTTCAGATCCCGCTACAGGACATATCCACAATTTAATTCCAATACATCTATAGCTATAAACAGACATTCACTGACTCGAGGTATTATTTCCACCTTAATGCCGAGAGCTGATGAAAGAATATTAGCCCCAGAATGGTAGTACTTTACCGATCTAACTAACCTGGATCAGTGATCAGCACGGAAGATTTTTTGTTAGGTTATACCCTGTGTGACAAAAAATATAGATTAGCTAACCTGTTCTAGACATGGGCATTGGTCTATACCAGCCAAATTTTTTACGAAAATTTTGTGCAATTGCTGGAAAGTAAGATTTGGAAATAGTGGAAGTCCCTCTTCAGTAAACCTAATTTTCTTTACTCCCATTTCACCATATTTTGGTAAAATCATACCTGGATTATCTTCTAATGGACCATGGTATTCCTCAAGCTTTTGATGTTGTGTTCTTACATTCTCATCGATGACTTCTGCCCTTTCTTGATTAGTATAGCCAGTAATACCGAGTTTATTCTAAATTACCACTATATTATCTTCTAAAAATAAAAGCTAATCAAATAATCTAATTGGTTTATCTGAAGAGGCTTTATCCCTTCTAAGTTCCATTTCTAGAACGGGATTGACATCTATACTAAGTTTCTCCTATATCCCTACTAATTCTAATAACAACTTATAAGAATCGGCAAGTGTTTTCCCATGAGCTCAGAATCTGGAGGCACTGCCAACTGATTTGCATTCCCACCAATACAGAGTTTTTCCTGAATAGCTATTATATCCTTCTTCTTATATAAAAACACTCTATATAATTGAGCAACTGTTTCGGAGTTACTATTTGCCATAATTGCTATAATAAAGTAATATATTTAATGCAGAAAATTTAGCTTGGCCGGGTCTGGAATACTGATCATCATCCCAGAGTAGTGATCACCCACCAGCTCAGAAGATTTTTTTTCGATTTAAATGATTATATCGATAATTATAACAATGAGAGCTCCAGAATCCGAGAAGAAAAAAGAGATATCAGCGCCTACGCAGGAGGGATCTGTAAAAGTATATTGTAAAATGTTTTCCCTATATGCGATGGCTAGTATGTCTAGTGGTAAATCTGCTGAAGACATTAAAGAAAAATTCATTCGTGGCCTATTACCTGCATACGAGACAGAAGCCACTTCATGCGACTCAGGAGTTCCATTTGATTCTTTGATAGATAGGCTTATTATTTATGAAAAGAATAAACTAGCTGGTCTGGGACAGGTCGAGAGGTGATCAACAGCTCAGAAGAAATTGCTGAATGGTCACATGCCCCTATGCGACAATAACCTTATTTTTTCTTTGCTAGAATATATTAACATATCTATAATGCGAACTATAAGCAATATAGCACAAGTCAATCAATCCGATATACGGAAGTCGAAAATAAGACGGGCAGGATTAATACCAAAGAATCAACTCGCAATTGAGAAGTCTGGATATTTATTCGATTTTATTAGACGGGAAAAAGAGACTAATTTAATAACTACATGTAAACATGCAGGTAGTCGGTCTTATAATACTGCTATCGGCCCAGATGGTATTATCCCAGTTATAACTGAAGAAGATGTAAAACGCTTAGGATTAAAGATAGACTGGATCAGTCCAGAAGCCTTACAGTAACAGATACGGAATTACGAGAACTTATTCGTCAAGGTCTAGTAGTTGATTAAGTTCACGAAGTATTATTATATGATCGAAAAAATATGCCTTAGGTTGATAACTTTATTAATTTTTCGATTAAGCTCGAAAACCAATGCGATAATCCAAGAGAAAAAGCATATCACACTTTAATGAGAGAATTCTTTGGTATGAAGGCATTCGTGAATCATCCATTCAAGCTGATCTCATTTCTAAGGCGCAATATTTTGGAAATAAGATAGACTAATGCATAGCCGATTTCATTATTCAAATAGGTGAGGCTAAAAAAGGATGGTTAAGCCGTGGATCAGTTGCGACATTACGTCAGGTGTCAACTACGAAAAGAGTGGTAGATTTGCTTAATGATGTCGAAAATAAAGGTCCTGAAACGCGTGGACAAATAATCATTTTCTAAATATTTCTTTTTCAAATCACATGGGTGGCTTGCGTAGAGCATATATCATGCACAGTACGATATCGGGAAAATCCTTGCCGAAGAATAGGGCTGTGCGATGTAAGATTTTTGGCACTTTATTCGTATTTTTTTCTAACAAACCGAACGTTAAATCATTTCTTCCGAAGGGTCCCAAAGGGACCACCAGCATACTCACAATATCGCAGTGTGAAGAAGTGTCGGCGAAAAAAATACTGGAGATGGAGATCCGGACAAGATATTGCGCAATTAAAGTGGGAATACTTATTTCGCTCAGTTGTGGTAGTACATTTGCAAGGAAGCGTCTTCAAAGCTGTAAACTAATACCTAGTTAATATCTTTTCATTCCAGGGTTTGGAGGATCTCTTTAGTATCATGGAGGCATAAATGAAATGGATTATGGAATAATAATGTTGAGAAGAAGCCGGCAATGAAAAACAGAAGGTTCAAGGGTATTTCAAAAATAATCAACCGTAAGGCACTTCGCATGTATTTTAATCTGTAGACATTAGTATAGACGTCATGTATCCAGCATCATGTAATTTATTTTTAGTGGTCCCAGGATCAGGCTCAATGTACTGCAAATAAAAAACGTTTAGGATACTAGGTGACCCGCGAAATATAGTCAATTATTTTTCTCGTATGGGAGGTGATTGGTGTGATTCTTTTGGAATCTAC